GGTGTGCCTCACAGTGGCAGCTGTTTAGGAGGTTAAAAAAAAAAAAAAAAAGACCTGGCTTTTTAAAACCTTCTGGTTTTATAAGTTAAGTTTATACTTCTACTGACACCAAGGCAACTAACTCTACTTAAACTTCAGAAAAACTATATGTCACTGCTTTTTTCATCTAGAGCAGTGCTTGAAGTTCATCATTACCCACCAGGTATGATTTTCCAAACTTAAACCCCAAAGAAATGATCTTTAGAAGCAACTTCCAAGAAGCTAATCTAATGGTTATCTTTTATCTAAACTGATACAGACAAAAACCCTACAATTATTGCAAAACAGCATGGCAAATGCCTGTGAAGTGTGGTGGGTGGGTCTTTTCCTTACCTATTTTAGATTCTGTATATAGGATCTCATAAAATAGACTGACCTAAGTCTATTAACAAGAGATTAACAAGATTAACAAGAGAAGAACAAGCCAGGCATGGTAGAACACCCTGGGAGGCTGAGGTAGGAATGGCAAGTTCAAGCCCAACCTAGGCTCAAAGACTCAGTGAGGCTTTGTTTCAAAAGAAGGAAAAGGAAAGAAAAGAAAAGGAAAGAAAAGAAAAGGAAAGGAAAGAAAAGGAAAGAAAAGGAAAGGAAAGGAAAGGGAAGGGAAGGGAAGGGAAGAAGAAAAGAAAAGAGAAAAGAAAAGAAAAGAAAAAAGAAGAGAAAGAAAAGAAAAGAAAAGAAAGAAAAGAAAAAAAGAAAACAAAAGAAAAAAAGAAAAGAGAAAAGAAAAGAAAAGGAGCCTGGGGATGCAGTTCAATGAAGGCCTACACCACAGAGAAAGGAGGGAAGGAGTCATTAAAGCTTGGTCATTAATTACACTGCAAAAAGGGTTTGGGGCTTCTGAGGGGAGGCATTATGAGGAGGTATCCAGGAAAATTATGCTAAACAGGAGTTACTTAATAAGTTTTATTTTGCAGAATTAAGTCCATGCCTTTTCTACTGACAGAGTTATTAAGAAACATAAGAGGGAGACATCTAAACAAGTGGATATTTTTTATATAAATGTAAATTTCCTTTACAAAAGGAACATTTTTACCCAATTTTCAAAGCTTTTTCTGAATCTGCTGATTATCAACAACCTTTAACTCAAAGTAACCTTGAGGCCCAAGAGACATATTTTGGGGTGGGCATTTCATCTAAAATTTGTGCCCAAATCTTATTAGTAAATTAATTCAAATACCTAGACTTCTTCAATGTGATGAATACAACCCTGCACCCCTGAATCTTAAATGTTTTCCTTTCCCCTGGCCCATCCACCATCTTCTATGTGCTCATTTCTCTGCTCTAAGCCACAAAGGCAGCTCTGTCTGGTATTACCCACACACTCAGCATTGCTCACATGATCCTCTGGGTAGCATGTAGCATGGCAAACAGACAAATCACCTGTGCTCCAGCTCTCATCATAATTTATTCAATAATTTTCATCTTTATTCATCAACTGTCATCATCATTATGCATTTATTCATTTCTCCAGTTGAATTTATTAATTTATTAAAAAAATATGTATTTAGTATCTAATATGGCTGAAGTCTGAGAATACAATGGTGAGCTATACCAAAAATAGATGTACACCTTTCCCTTGTGAAGCTTATAGTCACATGGAAGGGGACAATTCACTGAGTAGCCACACAAATAAATGTGACAATTTTGTGTCTGTGGGGATGAGATTCTTGAAGCTTCTACTTTTACTGAAAATTATCCAAAGAATGAGTAGGAATTTATTGAATGAAGAGTGAGGAGAGGCAGAGTGTAGCAAGCAGAAGGCACAGTATGTAAGTTGGCCTCAAGGTAAGAAGAGCATCATGACACATAGACTGGAAAGAAAGCCAGTATAGCTGACGCCTGGAGAATAAGAGGAATGAGTCTTTGTTTTGTCTTGTCTTTGAGTCACAGTGGTAGATAATTAGATCATAAACTTGGTTTTAGACATGTTAAGTTGGAAGTGTTCTGCATACATGTCAGACAGTTAAATATAGAGCACTAGAGCAATGACTCTAAAACCAAGGATGATTCCTCCCACTCCAGCGTATATTTGCCAATATATGGAGACATTTTTGTTATCACAATGGAGCATGGAATTGTTACGACTTGTGTCTAGATGTCCCCCCAAAACCTCATGCAGTCATAGGCAGGGCTTCCTCAGAGGTGGCTGGGTCTAGAGTATGTGATGCTGGGCTTGATTCATGGTTCACTGCTAGGATGAAGGGCACTAGGATCAAGGGTGTGTGTGCTACCTGATAGCCTAGATAAGATGTGAGGAGTAGAAAGAGCTGTGGTCATCCCATGTTGCTTTTGCTATCTTCCACTTGCCATGAACTGTTTCTATTCTTTAATGCCTGTCTGACATGCCACCCTGCCTTGAATCCAGCCAATTATGGACTAAAACCTCTATAAACTGTGAACTAAGTAAACCTTTCCTCTCTTAACTTGTATGTCTTGGGTATTTGTCTCAGCTATGAGAGAAAAGTAACAAAAACAGGGGTGCTACTAGTATCTAGTGGGTAAAGCCAGGGATGATGCTAAACACCCTACAACGCAAGGACAACCCCACAGCAAGAATTACTTAACCTAAATTGCCAATAGTGCCAAAGATGAGAAACTGTAGTTCTCAGATATTTGAGAGTCATTGGCCAAATGCCTTGGGCGTTGATGAGATCATATAGAGAAAAACATGAGAGTAGTAAGGACAGTGTGATAGTATAAGTTCTTGAGAAAGTTTATCACATGACTTAATGAAAGTAGAGTCCAACTTAGGGTGGAGACCTGAAAAAAAGTGCTAGATGCTACTGAAAAGCCAAAGGACATGAGGCTGAAAAGTGTCCATTGCACTTAGGGATGTTGATATAAAATAATGCTGCTTTAAAGGCAATAAGAAAATTGTTTATTCTGAGCCAAAAATGAGCGGCCATGGCCCGAAGACACAAATTCAAGTTGTCTTGAATATGTGGAAAGACTTACATGAACTTTTATAGTCACAGAACAAAAGAAAGTCATAAGTCAGCGTATTTACCAATTACATTGGTGGGAGCATTAGGTAGGCAGGGTACAGCAAGGCAGAGAAATGTCTTCTGTAGGATTCAGATGTTATCTTATAGCATGCATAGTGTCAGGGGTGATAGAGGATAGAGATCTCTCAAGCTTAGCTGTACATTCCAAAAGTTCTAGCCAGAAGTCACAGGGATGTTAGGGCAGAGGTTAATAGTAAATGACTATTAAAAGACACAAAAGAAAGGCCAAGATAAAAGTGCAACATTCCATCTCTCCACAATCATAATGTTCTAGTTAGCCAAGGTTAAACAGTTTGCAGGCTCTTGAATATGGATGTGACTTCTTCAGAGAACTGTAGTTCACAGGGCTGTGAAGGCCATTGTCACTTCGGTAGCATGTTATTAAGAAAAGACATATTGCATTGGGTCAAGGACCAAGGGGAAGATGAAAAATGAAGGCAGCTAACATAAGCAACGCCTTTAAGAAGCTTGGCAGTACAAGAATAGTCCTGCCAAGAAAAGTGGGGATTAAAAATAGTGGGCATTTTTATGTTGGAAGCTTAGAAATACAAAGTTGAGCAGATCATTATAATGGACATTTATGTACCTTGAATTCTGTGGCTCTAGCTTCTGTTTTATTTGTTTCTACAAAGTATTTTTTAATCTAGGAGAATTAACTCGAATCCAGTTGCAAACTCCGTGTCTTCTAATCAGCAATAGCTGAGATGTCTGGTCAATTCTTTCAAGTTCCAGCAGCTTTTTGGCCACTCCCCCTGTGCATGCATAGTTAGTGGCCAGCCAATGGGTTTGGGCAAATTTTACTCCTACCTTTGGGAATTTGTCACCTCTGCAGTTGTTCCACCTTCAGAGTTCCCCCCTTCACTTTCCAGCTGCTCTGCCACCCCTAGTTCTGTTCCCTGACACCTCAAGGTACTAAGACTTTGGCTCTCTGCTACCCCAGATTGATTGCAAATTGGTGACCTCAGACAAAAAACTGAAAATCTCAAGAAATGTGACTCCTGCTTTCCCAGGTAGATTCCCTTCTAGTTTCTGCCAACCTTAAGCCAAATACCATGGCCATAAATAAATACACCTTTTATAACAATAATATAAATTGTTTAGATATAAATACTTTTATAATTGGTATCTGCAGAAAGGTTATTCTGTCTGAATGACTGTGTTACTTCCAGAAGTTGAAGATTTATTATTGTTTTGAGGATGGTAAAGACTTGGCTCACTTCAGGGCTGGTGGGAAGTAAATGTGGAATCTACTAGAGTGCGTGAGAGGACAGGGATCACTCCATAGGCACACACTGTCTCACCCCTGGCCCCAGGGTAGAAGACTCATTTGTGTTCACATACTTTAGGTCTAAACATTAAAAGTTCTAACTCAAGCCTTAAGAGTGTTAAGTAAAATATAGTTTGTCATCCTGTCTTTACAAACACACTTGATGGGCTGGAAGGCTGAGTTGAAATTTTGAATTCTCAGACCCCAATGGTCCCAAGAAAACTGTCTCATGACTGGCATCCTATCCTCTTCCCATCCCAGCTGCATCCCCACTCAGGAGCCTCACATAAAAGTGTCTGGACATCAAACCATCTGTCCGCAGTCCAGTCACAGCCTCAGGCCTCGGGCTCCAGGCACTGTACTGCGGTCTGTACTCAAGAGGATTTGGAGAAGAGACCCACAAGCAGCTGCATGGCCATCTAGCCAGGGAAGTCTAGAGTCCTCAGTACTTGGTCTAGAGGGAGGAAGAGAAAGAGGGTTCAGATTCTGGAGAACACAAACTCCATCTGGGCATAATTCTTGGCCCCATGGGCTCCAGGCATTATGAAGAAGAACAATTGTAGGCATGCGCGAGTTGGATCTTCTATGATTAAGTGGCTGCAAGACCCAATACGTTTGGTCTTTGCTCTATTCCTGTGCAATCTAACTGCCTAGTTTCTCTGTTTGTATGTGTTTGTTTCTCCTAGTGGGCTGTTTATCACCATTCATGACAAAGGCCATATTGCAACAATGCTGAACTCTTGGCCAGAAGAAAATATTAAGGTATGATCTTGATTCCATTGCTATTGCTCTCTTTTTGGGTAAATCTTTTCAGCCTGCATTAGAGTCATTTCCTCTTATAAGATGAGCTGTTATGACCCTGAAGGCAACATACTGCCCTCCTTTACCAGACAAGAATAGACTCCTCATGGTCAAACACAAATGTACCTCAGAGTAGAGAGTACATTAATCAAATACTCATATCAAATTACCCATCATCATCACACCACCATTGTCATCATCACCACCATCATCACCATAGTCATCACCACCACTGTTAGTCTGAAGATATGTTCAGCCTGCACTGAGTGCCTACTAAGTACAAAATGGCAGTTTCCATGGTGAATACAGGAAGAAATCACACAAAACTCTCTTCTCATGTAGCAGGAGGGAAACAAAACAAAAAAAGCTAGGAAGGTAGAACTTGACCAGACCCTCATGAACTTGACCCTCATATATATATATGAGGGACACAGGAAGAGCTGACAGTTGTCAAAGGGACAGACATGACTTTTAGCTCAAGGAAAACCTCAGATGACTTCAAGCAGGAAATGACCCTGGACCTGGGGCTTGAACTGAGGTAAAGTTTGGACAGCTAGGCATTGAAGAGACCAGGATGTAGGCAACAACCTACTGCATGAAGAAAAGGGTTTATGTTGAGCAGTATGTCCTCACGTGGCCTTGTGTATCCCGGGTGTACACAGCAGTAAGGGTTGTATGCAGAGTGACAAAGTGCTACTGGTTTGTCTTCCTAGATTATCAATTTTATTCAAAAATTTGGGAAGAAAACCTTATTTTTGATCAGTGAGAGATTTTATTACAACTCTAAACTTAAATACTTGGTTTTCAATTTGTTTGGCCTTCTTTTCAGCCATCCTTAATATTGCCATTTAGATTTTTTATCATTTTACCTCTTTAAAATATATTTTATTAGTGCCTATGCCTTTTATAAAATAGTGGGTTTCAATGTGGAATTTGTTTTTTATTATTTTTTATTTTTATTAGTACATTTGGAATTATATAATAATTACACTTCTCACAGGGAGCTGGCACATGTACATAGCACATCTTAATTTCTTTGCATCTCCTTCCCCTCTCCCCCTTCACTACTCCCTCCCTGTCCTGGCCCCTTTCCTATTCACAAAAGATCTGTCTCCCTGTTTCTGATTATCTCTTTTTATTTTGGTCTTTATGTATACTTTGGGTTTCTCATATAAGAGAAGCCATGTGATATTTAAGCTTGTGTGTCTAATTCATTTCACTTAACACTATGGTCTCAAAGTGTATCCATTTTCCTAGAAATGATTTCACTTTATCCTTGTTTATAGCATAGTTATATTTTTATACATGCATATAACATATTTTAGTCATGTCCATTCCCCATTCCCCCCATATATACACTTCTACCCTATTCCTTTCCTCTTGTCTAATAATAACAGAGAAAAGTATTTTTATTTAACCAACAGGACAGAATGTGAGATGGAAAGGCTGTGTTAATTTTAAAATATAAAACATTGTAGAAATTTATTAGCCTCTAGCTAAACCTCTGATCTTCTGCCAGAAGAACTTCTGTAGGAAAGTTTAGGGGCTCTGGTATCTTTTGGAAGCAATACAGGTGAAACAAAAATGCCAAGCATCTGCTATTTAGTGAGAGTGTTTCTGGCACAGGAGCTGGGGGAGGACTAGGCCTGAGCAAGCACAGTAGAAGAAATCCTTGGGGCCAGTGCTCACACCAGAGTACCTGCACTGAGAGTCGTGGTGCTCCACCATGATGTGTTCTCCAGGCTCCCTCCTGTTTCTGTCAATTCCCTGAAACCCATCACCACTCTGCAAAGGGCACCAAATACAGCCTCTTCCTACCCACTTTTAGTTGTCTTCCTCTCACTTCTGGTACTCTCTGGGTGGCATTATTATTCAGACCAGAGCAGAAGGGGGCAGCACCTCTGCTCTCAAGAGCCAGGCCTGAGCCACAGGCAAGGCCCTGGAACTTCAGTCCTGGCAGTAGTGAAAGGTTCATTTTGTACATCTTTGTCTAGAAATGATTTTGCCCCATGCATCTCTTTCTTGCTTATCTGCCTAGGCTTCAGTTATATACAGGCACCGGCCTTGCAGGTTTTGGCCCCTGTCTAGACAATCCAATTTCTAGGGTGTGTCTGAGGAAAGCCATTTCACTCGATGGAGAGTTTCCTCTAAGCTGATCTGACTGGGGATGCCACTGAGGACTTGTAAATGAAGGCTTTTCTGCATACCTAGAGTGTCCAACCATGAAGAAACTTGGTACATAGGAGGCATTCCAAAGATGATCACTGAATTGAGTGAACTCAATCAACAGATGTATTAAGCATCTTTCAGGTACCGGGCACTGTATCAGGAACAGAGATAGGGTCTCCATTAATACTGACAGTACCTTTGTTCAAATTATGAGAAATTAGAGAGAATGATGAAAAGATAATCCCCACCTTAACCAGAAATAAAAAGGCACCCACCTCCAAGCTGGCACCAAGGTTTAGTGAGAGACTCATGAGCTGGATGTCAGGTTTCAGTTGCTTCTGTTGTTAGGACACAACTCCCACAACCATTGCTAGAGCCCTGCTGCAAGAGACACAAAAGGAAAAAATACGGATCCTGCTTCAGAATCACTTTATACTATGGTTGGAAAACCACAACATGAACTCAAAAATAGAATGAAGTTACATATACAGTGACTTCAATAAACATATTTTGAGAACGTCCTAAATACTGAGTTCTAAATACCAGAGAGTCAAAGATAGTGGTTATAGAGGCAATGGAGGCTTTGGGAGCTCAAACTCAAGAAAGCCCAAATAGAGAGACATCACCATCTTTAAAGAGAGCGTGTGTTAAATGAGCAGATCTGGGCCAGAGTGGCATCTAATTCAGTTGGATTTGACCACTATTTAGTAAACATCTACTCTGTAAGAGTTTACTGGGGGTATGGGATTAAAGAAGTACATTCTCAAACTCAATGGGGATACAGTCGTTAGAAAGACTGACCTGCAAGCAATGACAGTACACAGTTTCTGTGCTGCCAAAAAGGAGACTGTGAAGCTAGAAGCAGATTGGTGACGAGTCTGTGTCGAGCTGGAGGGACCCAGAGTGGACTGGTGAGTGACTCCTCCACCCTTTATTCCTGTCTCACTTTGGAGGAGCCCACAGGTCAGTTCTAGTTATTATGTAGAGGAAGCAACCCTGCACTTGCAACCAGATGGATGGGCATTCTGGCCTTAAATCTTTCATTTACATGTGTGTACAGAAAACCTCTCTGAGCTTTGTTTTCCTACTGTGAAGATTCACAATAATAATGGTTATACACATTGGAGGGTACTTGAATGGACACTGTCATTTTTGGAGATGGCAGAGGCAGGTGTAGGTAACATATCTGTGCAGTAGCTAGGGGCAGCTGTGGAGGGGGTCTTACCTCAGAATCAAAGGCCACAAATGAGCAGTCAGAAAGACAGCAGAGTGGTGAGCAGTGGAGAAAGAGACTCTGAGATTTGGTGTCCATATACTGGAATGTAGCAACATGAGCAAGAGGAGGAAAGTGGGACCCCAGGATCCAGGAAGGATCTGAAATAAGAACTGAAGCCCATGGGGAAAATGAAGAGAGAGGGACTTCAACAAAGAAGAAGGAGGGAGCATGCTGCGCTTACACTCTAAGCCTGGACTCACTACATGGGAGAGGCAATTTGAACCTGTAGATGCATGGTGGCTACTGGTGACCTCAGAGGCCTCCACAGAAAAACACACAGTGCAAATGAGCAGTGAATGCAGCAGACTGCACAGGCTGGTCAGCTTTTGGGTTCAGATGTCCCTCAGGAGAGGACAATTGGCCGGTAGCCATCTTGGAGAGGGGCCAACTGAGCTCAGAACTCACAGCAACTGCTGGTTCCATCTAATGACTCCCAGTATCAGGGAACTGTGCTCAAATTGGCAGGAGGTCAGGAGCCAAGTTCAACCCAGCAGGAAGATGAGTTCAAGCTGACACAAGGCATAGAGACAGCTACAGACTGAACAAATCTTGTTCCAGCACCACAGCCAGAAAACAGCCTGAACTTCAGTGCAACTAATGGGACAGACTCCCTGGGATTATCCACCACCCCAACATAAAGCTACAGCTAGTTTACTGGGATTAATTAACTCAGATCTAGACTCTGTCTGCCCATGTTATCTACCAGTGCCAGGAGAGACACATCTTGAAGTGGACATTTATTTTCTTATTTTTTTTTTCCTCTCTTTCTTCTCTTGTTCTTTGTTTTGTTGTTTTCTCTTGATTGTTTTTCCTGTTTTCATGGTTCCTTGTTTTTTGTTGGTGTTGTTCTGTTCTTGTTTTTAGTTTTTCCTTCTTTATTTCCCTCCTGTCTTCTGCATCACTTTCCCAAAGTTTGAATGATCTTCCTTTGTCCTCCAACCTTGTTTCTAATCTCTTCCTTTTCTTCTATTTCTCCATTTTCCCCCTAACCCTTTTTAAATTTTCTCCCCTGAGGGTAAAATTGCCATATTGAGAGCTGATTTACTACATACAATTTTCTGGTTTGTTTTAGATTTTGTAATATAGTACAAATCTAGTTCATACAGGTAAAGGTGGCAAGTTAATAATTACTTCAGTTTGTCATTTTCTAAGTTATGTTTAATGCTAATATTATCACTGATTGTACGACATTAGCCAAGGTGACATAATTGTTCTAACAAGTTTTTCTTCCTGGAGGGACCTAGAGCAGACTGGTGAGTGACTCCTCTATCTTTCATTCTCTACCAAGATCAAGATTACCTAAGGGTCATAAAAAATACTATGGGCCAGGCCATAGAACCAGGGGCTGGGCCAACTAGGTAGCAACTTCTCATCCCTTATAAATTGAGGAGATAGGATCATGTAACAGACTCAAAACCCAAAAGCCAGCTATACCTGGAAGACACCTCTGAGGAGCAGTCATTTCCTATGAGTTCTAAATACTAACAGTACAGCTACTCACCAGAGGCAATTTACA